TAGGGCTCCCAGGCAGACCAAGGCCTTTGCTGCATGCTGGCCCTGCCGGCCTCTGATGCCTAGACCCTCCCCGGACAGTGGCCCTGAGGCCCCTGCCAAGCACGTGACCGCTGGACTGGCTCAGGCCTCGGCCAGCACCAGGGCTTGCTTCCCGCCCTGGACCTTATCTTGGACACACATGCGTGCCTGGGGCGGAGCCACAGGGTTGGCTAGCCAAGGGCGCACCGGGCAGCTAGTTGGTGGTTCCCGGGCCAGGACCCCTGATCCCAGCTTGTGTGTGTGTGTGTGTGTGTAACCACGAGAGTACATGCAACCACGAGTGTGTGTACATAACATGTGCCTCCTTACGGATGCAACCGTGCTTATGTGTGTGTGTGCATCCATGCAGGTAACCGTGTATATGCATGCTTGTGTGTGTGTGTGCGCGCGTGCGTGCGTGTGTGTGGATCTGTGCAGGTGGCTCTGAGTGCTTCTGCCTGTGCCCCTGCACAGACACCTGCAGACCCTCCTAAGTTAGCAGTGAGGCTCCCCTGCCGATGCCCCTTCCAGAGCAAGAAGCCAGGAAGCAGGCAGCTGTCCCTGGGCCCCGCGAGAGCAGCAGGAAGTCCTGTGTGTGGATTGGGAAACGGCAGTGACCCAGAACCCTGCTGCCCTGAGAACCGAGAGGCCTGAGGTCAGGCGCCGGGGGAAGTGGCTCCTCCCTGCGGCTTGCTCCTTCAGACCAGGTCCTATGGCTCTGGGGCGCACTTCCCTGTAGAAGGGGCCACCCCGGGGAGGCTCAGTGGGGCCCTGTCCCCGTACGGCTCAGCCAGCCAGCCCAGGCCTGCGCCCTGCTGCGGGCAGGGAAGCTGATGGGCAGAACCCCGGGTGACAGGTGAGCCAGCCAGCCCTGCTGGGCCAGGTTCTCGCCCAGTCAGAGTCCTTCCTGTCCCTCTAATTGGTGCCCCTGTATTGGCAGAGCCGGTCGGCCCAGTCTGGGCTTGGTTCACAGGCTTGTTTGTCCAGCATCTGTCCTGCTAGTCCCTGATCTTTCAGCCAGACCCTGTCTTCAGAGTGTGCCGGGGCTGGAGGGTCCTGCAGGGCCCGGCCCAGGCTGGAACTCCGCTGCTGCTCTCACCGGACGAGATGCGGCCTGGCACTAGTGACCAGCGTCCCACTGGCCCTTTACATGTGTCTTTAACCCCGCAGTCGGCGCTGGGAGCTAGTGTGATTAAGAAACCACAGTTGGGTCAGGCGCTGTAAGCAGGGTCAGCCGCTGGCCTTGCAAAGCAGTCAGCTCAGCCCAATCCCCCTCAAACTGCTGCGGGTCCCCAGGAACTGCCAGGGGTACCCCTGAGTAGCTCTGGGTATGGCCCTCCCTCACCCCTTAAAAATAGAGAAACGTGTTTTCGCCTGCTGGCTAGCATGACCAGACTTGTGTAACTAACATCAGACCCATTGACCAGTCTGTTCTTGGTCCTCTGGTCTTGGGGCCTTGGATCTGCCTCGCCCAGACCTTCCTGGACAGCGCCTGAGCCTCCACTTGCACCGAGTCATCAGCCCGGGCTTATGGGGCAAGGACCTCACTGCCTCCGCTGTACTGGAGCAGCTGGTCAGTCATGGCAGAACAGGAACTGGCCTGATCTCATGACCAGCCGTCAGAAAGTGCGAGGAGAGATTGCATGACTAGCCGTCAGAAAGCCAGGGGGAGATGTGCATGACTAGCTGTGTAAACTCAAGAAGGGGGCACTGCACTCAGTGGCGGTGGCTCTATCTCTCCCGCTGCCCGCGTTCGGGAGTCTCACCCTTCTTCCCCCACCCCGGGGAGGTCGATGGCGATGGGCAGGCAAAGGAAGGAACGAGGGCCAGGCTGGTTGGTCTTAGTCGCAGTTTATTCCAGTCCTCTCTCCATCCACATCAGTCTCTCTTCTCTGCCTCTGCCTCCTCTTCTTCCTCCCCCATGCTACTTCATTCTCCTTCTCCATCCCCCTCCAGCCTCTTTCTCTGGAGTCTGGTTTCTGATCCTCCTTCTCTTCCTTCTGATCCCCCAGCCCACTCTTACAGTACAGTTAAATACCAAAGCATGAGGGGTTGGGGTAATAATTACACATAGGTGTGGTCACAATCAATAGGGGTAGAACTCTTTGCCCCAGGGAAAGCCGCTCCTAGGACAGATCCTCTCTCAGCAGGACGACCCACCCTAGAGCAGAATCCTGTGGGTGTGTCTCTCCTCTCCTTGTCCACAAGCATATAAGAATATATAATATAAATCATTTTGTATGGATACAGTAAGAAATATCTTAAACTTATAGAATTGTTCTCCTAGGGCCATCTCGATCTCAGACTACAGTGCTCAGGCCAGATAGTCTTTCCCACCCCTAGCAAGATCCTAGTCTCGTCGTTACTTTTGGATCATGACAGCATTTGTCTATGATCAAACTCTTACAGTTAAGAATCGTGGCACTTTGACCTGGCCCCTTTCGATGCCAGGGTAGCTCACCGCTTGCCCTGGGTCCATTCAGTCCCTCGTCGGGACCCTGCTTTTGGGGTGTTAGGAACTAAGGGCAACTGAGGCTTAAGTCCAGAAAGCAGATGCCTGGGAGTGAATAATATTCAAAGCCAATCAAATCCTAAGTTACAAAGCATAATGTTAACGGTCTTCCTGTATCTATACAAAAAGGACATTGCTTTAAAGTAAACTGTTCATAAGGCATAAGGAGAGGAGAAAGGCAATATTTCACTCATACATATAAAATCATAGATTTCTGATTTCATATAAAATCTGACCTTACAAATTAACAGAGTCTGATTAGGGGGAAAGCTGATCAACTGGGTGGGGAGGAGAGCATAGGGAAGACTGTTTACAGATAAACACAATGGAATGGAAGTGCCTCAGGAGCACTATGATGGGTGTAACCAGATAAACCTAAGCTCCTTGTGGAAGAAGGACAAAGCAGTGTCATCCTACAACTAGCCATCAGAAAGCCAAGGAGAAATTGCAGGAACTGGGGCGGGTGGAGGGGAACCCGCCAGCCTGGACTCCTCTGATGTGGTTCTCGGAGCTTGCTGCCTCGTGCCCCCGCCCAGAAGGCAAACAAATCACTGTAGAACCATGTGTGCTCGGAGCTGCGGCCACGGGGGCCAGAGCAGGGCTGAGACCGCAGGGCTGGTGTCATGGCCCCCGGAGACAGGTGTGTGGCTCTCGTGGCCTCAGTGGGAAGGGCAGATGCAGAGTCAGGTGCGGGGCCCACGGGTTCCACCCCCAGGCAGGCAGGTGGGAGCGGAGGCCGGTGCGGGATGGGACGGCCCGGCCCAGACAGGAAGTCGCCTCCTGGGCACAGGGCCAGGGAGATGCCAGTTCTGGAAGGCGGAGCTGCCCTCCTGGCCAGGCCGTCTGAAAACTGGGGTGCCGGCAGGGGCATCCCCAGCCAGAAAGACTATGCGGTTCGAACACCTTAAAGCAGAGAGAAGAAACACACGTCAGCCCAGATATGCTGCTTTAGCCCAGGTGCACCTTGAAGTGGACAGGAGTGACCGTTGGTTGGTGGACCGAGCAGCCCCCGGTCACTGGTCTGTCCAGGAGGGTGCCGGTGTGCTGCCGGACAGAACAGGAGGGGTGCGTCTGTGCTGAGTGTAGGTTCACATCAGCATGCACACGGCCGGGCACGCTAAGAAATGGGAAAGCAGATGCTCCCGACCTCCGCTATCAGGGAACCCAACACTCGGTGGGCAAGATCCCTTTGTCGTTGTGGTGCAGCCAGCCGGCTCTCCCCGCTTCCTTCCGGCGGGCTTGGCTCCCGTTTCTGCTGCACAGTGCTCGTGCTGTTTATGCCGGGTCTGTGCCGGCCAGCTGCTGACTTTTTTTTTTTTTAATTTTTATTAATGAAACACCATGGGGTACAGTTGTAGACTTAGAAATTTTGTGCTTGGGTTTCAATTATACAATGATCAAATACCCATCCCTCCACCAGTGCCCATTTCCCACCACCACGGGTCCCAGTATCCTTCCCACCCCCCTCCCCGCAATCCCACTCTGCCTCTGTGGCGGGGCATTCCCTTGAGCTCTCTCTCTCCTTTGGGGTGCTGTGGTTTGCAAAAGAGGAATTGAGGCTGCTGGCTTAAGGCACCTGTTCTCAGCGCTGGTCTCGCAGTGTCTGGGTCCAGCCTGGGTCCTCCTAGAGGACAGTGCTTGCTGTTAGTCGGCTGCTGAAGCCCCTCTGTGCCTGAGGAGGGCTGTGCGGACACCTTGAGCTCATCTGCACGGCTGTCTCTGGCCTCGAATCGGACGGGTGCGGAGCACTGGGCTTCCTGGTAACGACCCGTGCCAGAATACGAACCCGACAGGACGCCCCAGCCGTGTCTGGGTATGGGCAGCTGTGAGTAATGGCACACAGGTCTTGGGGTGGAGGCCACGTCCCCGGGACCGTGGCTGGAATGAGTCACTGCATGCCCACCCCCCTTGTACGAGGCTGGAGAAGAACACGCTTCAGCCCTTCCCGGGCTGGTCGGCGCTATCTGTTTGCTCCGTGCTCCCTGCAGCTGTGCCTCTGCGTGGGCTGCTGAGAAGGAAGGTGCCCACAGGTGGACGGGCAGTGGGAGGGCCGGCCTGCGTCCCTCTCAACACCCCCGGGGTCAGGCCAGCTGGCCTCGCTTTCCACCCACTGCAGCCAGTGGGTGTTGTCTGCCTCGTTTGGCCTCTCGCATGCACAGAGGGGGATCTCTGGTGTTCTCTGCAGGGTTTTTGTGAGCTGGTGATGGGTTGTAGCTTCGCTTGAGAGTAATTGTCCTGGCGCATAAACTGCCCGAACCCACGTCCTGCTTGTGCCCATGTGGCCGAGCACATGTGGCGCCCGCATCTCCCCTCTTGAGATGTGGACTTTCCTGTCTAAGGCTCTCTCCTGAGCCCGTTACTCTCTCTCTCCCCCATTTTCTCTCCCTCCTCTCCTTCAAAAACCTCCAAATAAAATCTGCTTTTACTTCAAATAATAATAATGAAGTAATCATCTTCTCTTTCTTCAGGCTGGAGGTGGGTGCGGGAGGCTCCCCTCTTCACACTGACTGGACTGTCCTGGGCAGGAGAGAGCCAAGAGCCCGGTGCGGCCGTGGGTGCCCCTGGGGCACACCTTTGGGACCATGAGCCTTTCCAGCGATGGAGGGACATCGGGGAGCATCTTTGACCTGGACTATGCTTCCTGCGGAATCCGCGCCACGCTCGTGGCCGCCGGCTTCGCCTTTTACGTGGGTGTCTTCGTGGTCTGCCACCAGCTGTCCTCCTCCCTGAACGCCACCTACCGCTCGTTGATGGCCAAGGAGAAGGTGTTCTGGGACCTGGCAGCCACGCGGGCCGTGTTTGGGGTGCAGAGCTCTGCGGCAGGTCTCTGGGCCCTGCTGGGGGACCCCGTGCTGCAGGCGGACAAGGCGCGCGGCCAACAGAACTGGTGCTGGTTCCACGTCACGACGGCCACCGGGTTCTTCCTGTTCGAAAATGTCGCCGTGCACGCGTCCAACTTCTTCTTCCGGACGTTCGATGTGTTTTTGGTGGTCCACCACCTCTTCGCCTTCCTGGGGTTTCTGGGCTCGGTGGTCAATCTCCAAGCCGGCCACTACCTGGCCATGACCACGCTGCTCTTGGAGATGAGCACGCCCTTCACCTGCATTTCCTGGATGCTCTTAAAGGTGAGTGGTGCCACCTGGGGGCTGCCCGTGCCTGGGTCCCGCAGGCGCCAAGCGGAGATCCCCACTGACCTCTGCGGAGTCAGAAGCAGTAGTCTCTGGGCTGGATTCCACTAGATCCTGAGCAAATTGGATTATTGCTTCTAGCTCCGTCCCATCAGAACTCTCTGTGGGCCTTACGGGCCCTTGCACACATGGTCCTTTTCCTTCCTTTGATACTTTCAAAAAATGAAAGTAAGGAAAAGGAAAACAAGAAGGGTAATAGAAGAGGTAAAGTGTTTGCCTCTGCATGTTGCCCACCTGAGTTTGATCGACCCCAGCCCGGCCAAGGGGAGCTCCTGAACCCCAGCCCCACCCCTGTGTAAGGCAGCTCACCTGCACACACTCTCGCCTTCCTTCGGTTGTTATTTTGCACTGACGTAGGTGCGGCCCGCTGGCTGTAAGAGAACAGCTTGTTTCTGCCGACTGTGTGTAGCAGACTGTGAATGAGGCTTCTCTGTCCCTCCCGTTCAATGGGAACTTCATGGCTCATGGTTGATAACTTCTCATTCCCTCTCCCTCCAGCCCCTGGTAGCCCCCGTTCCACTTTTGAGTCTGTGACGTGATTTAATAATCTGACGTAAGGGGGATCGTTGAGTATTTGTACTTCTGGCAGCCAGAGTGACAGTACAGTCGGGAATATGCTGCACTATCCCACTCTACTAACCCTGGCCCCCAGATGGTCCCCTGAGCCCGCTGGGCGTGATCCCTGCGCACAGAGCCAGCAGTCAGCCCTGAACACAGCCAGGTGTGACCCAACAGCAAAACAAACAAACAAATTGTATTTCTCTGACCTGGTTTATTCCACTGAGCGCAGAAGTGGTTGTATAGTGAAGAATTCCTTTCTCGAACTGAGAGTTTCTCCATCCGGTGTTTCCTGCATGTCCTTCATCCCTTCACTTGTCAGTGGGCATCCAGGCTGTTCGCACGGCTCAGCTATTCCTGATAGCTTTGCCGTGCACGTCAGTCCTGGTTCAGTCCTTTTGGACAGACACCCGGAGGTGGGTCGCCTAGAGCACTGGCACCCTGTCTTTAGAAGACAGAGTCCGCTGTCTGTCCTGCTCTGTTCTGCAGTGACACAGCGTGGGGCCCGGCCCTGCACCCCCCGCCACCCCTCGCCTTGGCCTTCGCTTTACAGCCGTCCTGACGGGTGTGAGGGGACGCCAATGAAGAGGGACACTAAGCCCTTTCGCCTAGCTAGACTGGCCCTTTGTACGTCTTCTTTGGAAAACCACCCATCACGGTCCTGGGCCAAAGACTTTTACTCTATGCCTCTTCTGTTCGGCCTGTGGGCCCCGTGCGTGTTAAAGGTAGTCTCTTAACAGGTCGTTGCCTCGCTGTCCGCAGGCCTCTCCGGCCCTTCATGGCGTCGGGGCTGTGCAGGCTGGTGAAGCTTCACTCCAGCTCTGTTTCTGCCCTGTGTGCGCTGTCTGACTGGTCAGGAAACCGTAGGCCAGGCCCATGGCAGTCAAAGCTTCCCTGGTTCTCCCGGGAGCAGATTGATTGGAGCAGCTGCGAGAGTCACGGCTGTCAGCCTGCTCTCGGTGACTTTGGGCCCTGGGTTAGCTCAGGGTTCTGTGTCAGTCGTTCCCAGGTGGTCACCCGTTTCCCCAGTCGACTCCTCACCTATGGGTCTATTTCTGGACTCTGGGTCCCCTACCATAGGGCTTTGTGATATCGTTGGGGTCCGTCTGTGTTGCCCCCGCTTTCTTGGCCTTTCTCAGGGTGAAGCTAGATCTTTATCATCATTTGTGATTCTATATGGGAGAGTTTTTCCTATTTCTGTAAAAAGGTTTTTTTTTTTAAAAAAAAATAAGATGTCGGCCGCGCGACATCTTATTATGACATCTTATTATCTCATTCCTACTTTGGACAAACTGGCAGGTTACCGAATGTAGCCTGCCCACATGGCAGAGTCTGGCAAACTCCCCGTGGCGTACCCAATATGCCACCAAATACCAGTAACAATGATGGGTCTCATTCTCCTAAAGAGCCTTGAATATAACCTCAGGGCCAGGATGAAGGAGACGTTACTGGGGCCTGCTCGAGGCAATCGACGAATAACAGGATGATTTATGATTTGTTGTGTGAATTTTGATAGAGATTTGCATTTAACCTGCAGATCACTTTGAATTGAACGAATATTTTGTCAACATTAACTTCATGAATATAGGATGTCTGTTTGTGTCTTATTTCTTTCATCACTCTGTTGTAATTTTCAGTGTACAATTCTTTCACCTCTTGAGTTGACGTTTACCCTAGGGGTAGATGTGTGGAAGTATTCCAAATTTACTTTTGGATTCTTCACTCTCAGTTTATAGAACCACAGTGAGTTTTGTGAGTTGGTTTCTCATCTTGTATCTTTAGTAAATTCAGATGTAATTTTTAGGAATTTTCTATCCTAACCGGTGCTATTTTTGAAACAAATTTTATCACTCTTCCAGTTTGGATGCCTGTTTTTCTCACCTCTGTGCTCTGGCAAGGACTCGGGGTGAGAGTGAGCATCTTTCCTTGCTCCTGATCTTAGAAAGGGCTGGGTGTGGGTTCTTGTTAAGACTGGCCGAGTCCACACATCCTCTGTAGAGCAGCGAGGGGGCACCCAGGAGGATGTGCGTCTGCCAGACAACACGCATGCGTCAGCGTGCTCGCACTCCCTCGGTCACGGAGTCTTGCTAGCTTAGCTTAGGCCGCTGCTTGCTTCTGACCTTGTGTGAGTTTCCTCTGCATTACCCACCGTGGGGTGAGACTCTCCTGCCGTTCACACTTGGCTCTGTTGTTTCTCAAACGTCTGCATTGTTCACTTTGGACGGTGAAGGCTCTGGTGCCCCCATACCCCTGAAATATAGATAGCCAGCGCCCAATTAAGACCAGACTGTTAGGAGAAGGTGTGTCGTGAGTAATGAGTACAAGTTCCTTCCCCGATGTACATGGGAATCACTTCATAAGCCCCTGTAAGGGGGAAGGAACGGAGGGCAGAGCCCTTCATCCCACGACCGCTGAGACGGATCTCAGCAGGTCCAGTTGCACGCGTCAGGCTGTTGGCGGAGACTCCAGCTGTTGATGGAAAGTCAGGCTGTTGGTGGAGAGTTAGGATGCTGTTGAAGTCGGGCTGTGGGCAGAGACTCTGGCTCTTAATGGCAGTCAGGGCTGTCGAAGGAGAGTTGGGCTGTTGGTGGAGAGTCAGGCTATTGGAGGAGAGTCGGGGTGTTGATGGAGAATCAGACTGCTGGAGGAGAGTCCGGTTGTTGGTGGAGAGTCCAGCTGTTTTGGTGGAGGGTTGGGCTGTTGGCAGCCAGGGTGCTGGGACATCTCAGCTGCTTGTGAGCTGACACCGATGTCACAGGCACAGTGCAGAAAGGCACAGCTCTCCTCCCGGGGACCCACTGTGAGGAGGTGGTGTCTGACCTTTTTGAGGCGTCCCTGTAGAGTTGAGCAGGTGGTAGCTGCCTCCACAGGTCTGGAGTCCCCTGGCCAGACTGACCCTCACCAAGGCAGGTGCTGTCCTTGGACCTGGTGCCTGGGGAGGGACCACGGCCACCCCATGCTGCTGGCCCATCCTTCTGGGTTAGCTGATAGATGGCCTTCACTGGTCACGGGAGTGGGACACGTGTCCTCACGTGAGCTGCCTTCAGCGGTGACTGCCTCCACTGCTCCCTCACGGGACTCCCCAGGGGAGGCCGGCACAGGGAGGACCTTGTGCTTCTGCTCACCCAGAACACAGGAGGACACGCTTTGGGTGGCCTGGTGTGGAAAGGCACAGTGCTGTCGGCGTGTCCTGCTCTGCACTCACTGCCTCTGCTGCTGTGTGCCATGCCCTCTGCCCCCTGCCCCCTGCCCTCTGCTCTCTAGCCTCTGCTTGTGCCCAGTGCCCCGGGCAGCACTGCTTATTCTCCCAGGGTTGAGAGGAGGTGACCAGGAGAGCAGGCTCTCCTTCAGGGGAGCCCCTCCCCGTGGTGGTGAGGGTCCCTGCAGGGGTCCGGGTGGGGTGCTGCCCTCGCCCACGCCTGCTGACGCCTGCCCCTTTGTGCCCGCAGGCCGGCTGGGCCGACTCCCGGCTCTGGAAGCTGAACCAGTGGCTGATGATTCACATGTTCCACTGCCGCATGGTGCTCACCTACCACATGTGGTGGGTGTGCTTCGAGCACTGGGAGGGGCTGCGGCAGAGTCTGCACTGGCCGCACCTCACGCTCTTCCTCGTGGGGCTGGGCCTGCTCACGGCCGTGCTCAACCCCTACTGGACGCACAAGAAGACCCAGCAGCTCCTCAACCCCGTGGACTGGAACTTCGCGCAGCCCGCGCCCAGCAGCGCCCGGCCCGACAGGACCAACGGCCAGCTGCTCCCCAGGAAGGAGAAGTAGCCGCGCGAAGGACAGACGGGACCCTTGCCCGCGCGCCCACCGCACACACGGGGCCCAGGACGGGCCGGCGGCGAGAGCCGCGCTGGGTGCTTTGCTAGTATTAATTTCGCCGTAGCCACAGAGTATTTCTGAGCCCGTGACCTGCCTTCCCAAGCCCGTGTAGGGCCGTGGCCAGCTGCCCCCATTAGCTCCCGTGCATCCCCCCAGCTGTGTCCTGTGGAGCCAGGGAGCCCATGTCACTCTGTCCCTGCCTCCACCACCCTGTGGCCTCCCTGGGGTGGCACTGTCCAGGGTCTCAAAATTCCCGGGGGCGGGGAGGGGTCCGCTGGCCAGGAGTCTGGTGGGAGTTTTATTTTTTTAGACCAAGGAGCGTGCATTAAGGCAGAAATGTCATCTTCGTACCTGTTGTCCAGGTGAAGAACTTAGGTCAGTGGGAGTGGTGCAGATTTTCCTGGTCAGCTCCCCCGAGCGGCCTACGCCAGGGTGGACCTTGGCGATTGTTCCTCTGTGGGCTTCTCAAGCAGGCGGTGCCCACTTCCTCCTGCCAGTGTGGGGTGCTGGGCTGCAGGCCTGGGAGAGCACCAGGTCCCCCTCTGCCACCAGCCTGCAGGGGCCCCCCCGCCCCTTGCTGTGAATGGACAGGTCTGCGTCTGCGGGCAGGGTGGACACTCGGTGGTCATCAGCACCTCTGAATGCCCGCAGAAAGTCTGCCGAGTGACCGTGGAGATCACGTGTTCTCCATCTGTCACCGTCACGTCCGTCTCCATCCCTGGTGCAGTCCAGCCCGATGGCATGTCCAGGCGCGATGGGAGCCCTGAGACGACCCGCAGCCCCCGCTCCTGCTGGACCGTCCTGAGACTGGCCCTGCTGGCCTGCACTGTGCCCATCTGCAGGCAGAGCCGCCTCTGGCCGGGTAGACGTGCAATAAAGTCCGTGACGTTGGCCGGGCCCCGAGGGTGCCATTCTTGCGTTGGGGGTACAAACTGTGCTGACCCGCTGGGACCCTCAGTAGGACTGACCTTTCCATTAGGATCTCCCGGGGGAGGTGCTGGCAGTCAGAGAGGCCCAAGGAGGCCGCACTGCTCATGACGCCCTGCGGTGCCGGGGATGGGAGGCCATTCAGGTACCCAACCTCAGAGTGCCAGCCCCGGGTTCAGGCATATTTGAGCACAGGTGTGCGCTGGGTGGGACCACTTCACAGGCTCCCTTTTCCCCCTGGGCAGCTTCCTGGGCCTCCAGTATGTGAGTGCATGTCACCCATAAGGAATTGACTTCCCAGCAGTCACTTGGGGAATTCCATGAGGCCCATGGGCCAAGCACCGGGCCCCACACTCTGGCCCTCTTCCCACACACCCCTGCAGACCTCAGGGGCCGGGACAACAGGGCTGTGTGCCCCTGGGATCAGACGGAGAGGGGACGAGCGACTAGGACCCCGTGCTCACAGGCGCTGGCCCGATGGGGTGGCCGGCAGGGCCCACCTGGGGAGTTGTTCTGGGAACCAGTGTCCAGGATGCAACGGGCACTCACAGGCAGCGTCTGGTCGCGGAACGGCGGCACTTCCTGTGCCAGGAAGCTGTTCTGGCCTGCAGGGAGCCTGCCCAGAGCCGCTGGGGCCAGACCTGTCCTCTGCTCACCTCCGTGAGTCCCAGCCCGGCTCATATCAGCCTGCACACCAGCGCCCCCCGGTGGTGTAAGTGGTGTTGGCACTCGCTGCAGGAAATGCCTCAGCCTTGCCAGCCGCTGGGGTGCCCATGTGACCATGGCGTGGAGTGGACCCTCCATCCCGTCCACCAGCCCCCGATGGCACCTGCACGGGACACCGAGGAGTAGGAGGGAGGCCGTGGGGGACATAGAGTGCCTGGACGCAACAGCAGGATGCGGTAGCAGGACCACAGGGGCCAATGTCCTACAGTATCCACACCCCTGGACACAGCCTGTCTCTGCAAGGGAGCGCCTCGGGTCAGTAGTCACCTCAGATCCTTCCGTGGCAGCCAATGCTGGCCAGTCTGCCCGTGTCCCTGGGTATCCTCCCTGTCAGGCAGCTCAGGCCTGCTGGTCACTGCTCCAGACTTCTCCCCTGGCTGTGGGGCACCGTCCACTGGAAGAACCTGGACTCCTTCCCCCAACCCTCACCTGCCGTCTCTTTCCATGTTCTCATCACGGTCTTGTCTAGGGGTCAGCCTGCTGGGCCTGCCCTTCTGCCTCTCAGTCCCTTCCAGGAACTTATGCCAACCACCTGCTTTCCTATGCCCCAGGAGCCATTGCCTGGCACCTGAAGGTGCCCTGCTGCAGGGAGCCCAGGGCATGGGGTCAACATGGGTCCCCGTGCACATGACCCAGAGGACGGGGTGGACATGGGCCCCTGTGCACATGGCCAGAGCAGAGGCTGAGCCCTGCAGAATATTGGCCCTTCCAACAGGGGTCCCCGGGCAGCAACTGTCCCCAGGCAGTAGCTTGTGTCAAGGGAGCCAGTGGCTACTCCTGGGTCAGTGAGAGGTCGGGGGCTATGGGGTCCAATTGTGAGGGAGGGGGCAAGAAGGATTTGCGTCAGCAGTGGGTCCTGGTCTCTGCCTCCCATGGCGAGTCCTGGCCAAAGGCCCAACTGACCAGTAACATTTGCAGTGGGTCTCCATCGCGGCCCTAGGCTCTGTCCTAGCCCCTCTGCCCCAGGACAGGTGTTGGCTCTCAGATGCAGTGTGGACACTTCCGGATGCCCCACAAGGGTCTCTGGATCCCGCCATACTTTGCGGGGTCCCCTGGGGCTCCCTCATGGACTCTGGTCCCATATGCTTCAACCATATGCCTATACCCTCCCCCCCCCCCCCACTTCGCCAGAGCTGCGGTGGGACAGGATCTGACCCTGGCACCCTACTGTGGTGACCCCTGCAGCCAGATTGCACCCCGGGGATCACCTGGTCTCCCAGCCAGAGGCTGGGCACGGCAGCACAGGGTCAGCAGGGAGGAAGCTGCTGCCCAGGCCAGACCGGCACCCCGGGTCTCTGGAATAGGGGTCCTATTGGGGTCCCAGTAAGAAATGGCCTCTTGCCCAGGGCCCTGTCCGTCTGCTCCCTGGTGCCTGTGGGAGTCTGGGGGCACGAGGCAGAGAGGGGGCCGCAGGCACCTCGAGTCTCATCTCGCTGGGGCACCCGCAACCCAAATCCCACCCACGCATTGCCCAGAGTCCCACGTCCTCCCCACGGCAGCCGGACTGCTGGGCAGGCGTGGGCCGAGCCGGGACAGAAGCAGCCTGTGCCGGAACAATGGCCCTTCTGCTCCCTGGCCCTGGCCGCTTATCTGCCTCTCCCTACTGCCCCTTCCGCCCCTCCCCAGGCAGGCCCTGCCCCCACTGGGCACAGAATGTTCCAGGTGTGGAGGATGGCCTCCTTCGCAAGCTGAGCTTCTCCACGGCCCCCCAGGTCCCCACCCCCTCTGTGCTGACCCCCAGGTCCCCAGTCCTTCCATCTATGCTGGTCGCCCCCACCCAATCCTCTCCTGCTGCACTGGTCACATTCCCCTGGACAGGGAAGTGTCCCGTCTCCACTGTGGCTCCAGCGTGTGTAGCTGGGACTTGATGGAGATAGACACTTCCGTTTCTCGTCAGTCTGTGGGCATCTTGGGCCTCGGCCATGGAGGCAGCTCCCATCAGGAGGAGTCCAGGGGGGGTGTGTGACCCTGGACTCTAGACACTCCCTGGTGTCAGAGACGCAGAGGGACACAGGCCATCACTGCCTCTCCCAGGCTCGGCCTCTGGGCAGTTGAAGGAACCTTAACTCTCCACTATTATTTGTTATTTTGGGGGGGAGGGGGCGGCCCTGGTGGTGCAGGGGTCCTATTCCTGTCTCTGCACTCAGGCATCGCTCCTGGCGGACGCAGGTGACCAAACAGGGAGCCTGGATGGAGCCTGGGTCAGCAGTGTGCATGGCAAGTGTCCTCATGGTACTAGCTCTCTGCCATGCCCACTCTTCAGACAGAGACGGCACATCTGTCCATAGCTTTCAGGGGCATCCCCCAGGGCCACACTGCAGGGCCCCCAAAGTGCTGGGCTGAGTGAATAGGACATGTGGCCCCTTGGAGGTCTGGAGCTGTTCCAGTGGGAGCTACAGAGCTTTGCAGGGGCAGGGGTCAGCCGGCTCAGAGACGCAGAGGGACACAGCAGGAGTCACCCCAGCGAGGCCAGTCGCCAGCCTGGTGCCCCAGGACCCTGCCCCTCTAGGGGTGAGTCCTGCAGCTGTGCAGAGCTGCAGGGTCCTGAGTAACCAGGCACCCCCAGATCCTCCCCGAAGCGCTGACCGCTGACCAGTCACGGTTTCCTGGCGCCGCCTGCAAAAGTCCACGCAGGGCAGCGGGTCCAGCTGCGGCGGGAGGACGCCTATGCCCGTCTGAGCCCCAGGACCCAGGCCCGGCCTGTAACCCGGCTGCCCAGCGGCTCGGACCCGCTGCCCAGGGCCCGGGGAGGCCCGCCTGGCCCTCGGGGGCTGTGGGCCCAGCGGACTCGCCTCCCCGGCCCGCGACACCGGCCCAGCGGCGCCCGGCTGGCCTGGAGGCAGGAACGCCCGGCGCGCTGGACCCGCCTGGACACGGGGGCGGGCGGGGCGGCCCCGGGGGGCGGCAGGCCGGCTCCTCGCCCGGGCGGGCCCACGGGACGGCGGGCAGAGCCGCGCCCACCCCCGCCCGAACCCCGCGGCCGCCGGGCGCTGCGCGCAGGGAGGGGGCGCGCCGGGCCACGTGGCTCCGCAGGAATGCGCGGGCGCGGGGGCGGGGCGCGAGTGGGGACGGGCAGGCGGGCCAGCCAATGGGCGCGCGGCGCCGCGGGGGCGGCCAATCGCGGGCGGGGGGCGGGGCCGGAGGGCGGGGCGGGGCCGGGCGCATCCCGGGGCGGGGCCGGCGGCGGCGGCGGCGGCGGCGCGGGGTCCAGGGGTCCCGGGGTCCCGGGGTCCAGACTGGTGAGTGCGGGGAGCCCGGCGGGGGGGCGGGCGCCGGCGCCTCTTCCACTTGGCGCGGGCACCGGGGCCCGGCCCGGAGCCCCCTGAGCTTTTGCCCAGCTCGGACGCTGCGGGCCGGGCCGAGTGGACACTTGGACCCGCCCCGCCCCGAACTGTGCGTCCACCCGACGGACCTGAGGAGACCCGAGGGGAGGCGCGGGGGAGCCGGGAAGGGACAGGCGGAGGACCCAGTAGCCCGCCCCGGGAGCCCCAGGTCCGCACAGCCCCTCCTGCCCAGCGAGGCGCGTCTGTCTGCACCGCAGCCCGTGCACTGTGCGGACCAGATCGGCTCCCAAGGAAAGTGCTCCCTGAGAGGCGCTCTCCCAGAAGTGCTCCCGAGGGACGTGCTCCCTTCAGCCCCCACCAGCAGACCTTAGTTACGTGGCCGCCTGGGTTCTGGACCTCGGGCCAGGTAGGGCAGAGGACACCTGCCCTGCTCTGCCCGCCCAGAGGGTCCCAGGCTGGGTGTCTGTGAGGCGGCCACCCCTATGGAGGCTCCCAGGCCGCTTCATGCGGGCACTTTCACTCCCTTGCCAGCTGCGCCCTGAGCCTTCCCCAAGTTCTCATTGGCGGAGCCCGTGTCTGCCCTGCAGCCGTTCTCTGGTCTGTCTGTCCACAGGCCCACCAGGACTGTGACGGAGGCACAGTCCCCGCTACCTGTGCTGCTGGCCATGCCTGTAGCCTCACGGTCTCTGTGGGCTGCATGCATGCATGCTTCCAACTCGGAGATCTCTTCCAGGGTGTCTGGGCTCGGCAGAGCATCCCTGGTCGGGGAAGGGGCTGGGAGGCCCTGGGTGTGGCCATGCCTCCTACAGCGGCTGGCGCACTCAGTAGGGCCCATGAGCGGCGTGGAGGGCAGCCCAGCAGCCTGCCGTGCAGAGACGCCTGTGGGCTGCTTGCTTCCTGCTGCATCCAGGGGTCTCACACAGCACTGGGTGATGTTTGCTGAGAG